TGACGTCATTGCTTGCATCTATTTTTGACCGCTCTGACATCCCTGTCACTTACTTTCTGGCTTCTTCCGGCTTTTTTCTTGGCTCCATATTCTTCCGTATTTCATAAAAAGTTGTTAATAACCGTTTTTGAACGCTTAATCCTAAAGGCAATTTCCCTAAAACTCAAATTTTCATTTTTGATTACGGTTATTTGACGTTTTTTCAAATTCACTTAATTTTGTATCCAAAGGCATAGTTTATTTCAATTTTGTTATACGCAGATGCTGACAAGTTATCAATAATGACTTATAAAATTTTAAGCGATCCTCGATTTAATTTATTTTAACTTGCAGTATTCTTTTTTTAAATGGCCTTAGAATTATGCACCAATCATTTTTCGAGTTTTTGAATAATTTTACAATAAGTGATTTTCTACTCATAACAATTATTTGAAAACTTCAGATTATTACTACTATATAATAATATACAAAATATTAAAAAAATATCCCAATTGCTAAAGTTTAAAGATAAAATTCAGCTGGACTTATAATTATGCACATACTGTATGTATGAGTATATATATATATATATATATATATATATATATATATATATACTAGCAGTAAAAAATGGCGTTGCCCGGGGATATAACAGTAAGAGATAGATCAAGTATCCACCATCATAAAGACTGAAAAATAAAATTGACAAAGATTATTGTTTAAGGTTGACGGACACGCATGTTTTAATTAGTTTTTTTTTTTTTTTATCTTTTACGAATTGGTCAAACCCAAACTCAAACAAAAACATTGTTTTCAATCGTTATGAGTCTACTGATTGAATAGAATTTTATTATAAATAATTGTCTTGTAAATGGAATTTTTAAAGCATTCTGAATGTTAAAAATAAAAAAATAAAAAGTGTGCAGGAGAATAAGAAACAGTACCTGCCAAAAAAAAAAGTTTTGTTGATATCGGTTGAAAAATGTAGGTAGCCTTTCTGTAATCTTTTAGTTTTACAATTTATGATTTTTACTTATTGAATACAGTAAAAAAAAATTGCATATTTTGCTTGTGGTAATTCATAATTAGAATTCTGATTTGAATATATTTTCCACTCGTTGTTTCTAATAAAAAATATTAACTTTATTTGGGTTTATTAATTATGATATAACAAATCTTATTCATTTAGTAGCCTTCTCTGTAATATATAATAATCTTTTACAATTTATGATTTTTACTTATTGAATACAGTAAAAAAATTGGACACCATGTGTATTTAAAGTAGTTTCCCGTTCCGGTTATTATTTTTAGTTAGGACTTGTGTATGTTTAGATTTCATTATCTTTCCCTAAAGATAAAGAATTGTTTGTATTCGTACAATCAGTAGAGATCGTTAGATTATTGTTTAAGGTTGACGGACAAGCATGTCTTAATTATTTTTTTTTTTTTTTTTATTTTTTACGAATTGGTCAAACCCAAACTCAAACAAAAACATTGTTTTCAATCGTTATGAGTCTACTGATTGAATAGAATTTTATTATAAATAATTGTCTTGTAAATGGAATTTTTAAAGCATTCTGAATGTTAAAAATAAAGAAAAAAAAGTGTGCAAGAGAATAAGTAACACTACCTGCCAAAAAAAATGAAGTTTTGTTTTATCGGCTGAAAAAAGAGGAAATCCGCTCCCCATATTTAAAGTAACCCACACACAAAACAAACCGATGAGAGTTGTCCCCTTCCATTTTCACGATGTCTC